CGTTCATAAAGTCCAGAAAGACTACGTCCACTGCTACCCCTGCATCTAAGGATCTGGTGATCTGGTTGTAGAAGGCCACCAGGTTGGTCTGACAGGACCTGCCTCTAATGAACCTGTGTTGGTTGCCCCTAAGCTTAATCTCCCCTGCTGGCCCCTCGTGGACATGTGCCAGAATAACTCTTTCAAAAAGCTTACCCAGGATCAAGGTAAGACTAACTGGCCTATAGTTCCCCCGGTCCTCCTTCCTCCCTTTTTTGAAGATGTGGACCACGTTGGCCCTTTTCCAGTCCTCTGGCACCACACCAGAGCACCACGTGTCCTCATAAAGCTGTGCCAGGGGTCCCACAATGACCTCAGCTAATTCCCTCAGCACTCTGGGGTGGAGATCGTCCGGACCAGCTGATTTAAATACATCCAGTCTCTCCTGAAGTTCCCTGACTAGATCCTCCCTGACCCTTGGCTTAGGTGCGCCTCCCCTGGGGCCTGAGGAGGGCCCAGTGGTGGGGCTGATATGGTCCCTGCTCAGGAAAATGGAGGCAAAGACGTCATTAAATCTTTGTGATACATCTTCTGTATCACAAAGAGCTGTACTGTCTTATTGCTAGGGACCTACCTAAATTGCAGTGAGACAAAGGGATTTTCTCAGGCAACTCAAGGTGCACAGAATCCATTTCATGGTCTTTTCACAGTGAGACCCCCCTCACTGCTGATTGACTGAGGGGTCCCAGCAGCCCCGTCCCTTACCACTGATTGGCCAAGAGACCAATCGCTCATCTTCAGAGTGTAGCATTGCTGCAGTATTGCATCTGGCTTCTTAAAAGTTGGTGCTGAAACCCTTTCACTTTCCTGACTGGCACCTTCGCTAAGTGCATCACTTGCTCAGCCTCTCAGTAACTCTCTCTCAAACCAGTTGTGCTATAGCTTCAGAGACTGCTGCACTTTATTTGTATTCCAGTAAGCTTTTATTTTCTGGAGGGTGATTCTGCATAAATTTGAGGGAAACGCCATTTTTCACAGTGATCACAGAAATCACTTTTTTGCGTTTTCTGCAAAAATCACAAAACAGCTTTTTAAATAAGTCCCTATCAGCTAATAATTACCTGCTTATGCATCTTATCTGGTTGTTATACAATTCATAATCTAGGACCTTTCCTCAGGAGGGAATTTAAAGCGTTGGGCCTGATTCTTCTTTTTTTCATTTAATTTTTACACAAGTATAACTTCATCAACTTCAATGGAGTTATACTAAACCTATACTAGAACTCATGGGAGGTGAATCAGGCCTACAGTTTATGAAAGACATAGGCCTGTAGCTGTGAAGATTATCCTGATGCTGTTGTTTGCATATCATCTCACTTTCTAGAAGTCAAACCAGGATCCTTTTGTACAACTCATAATCCACAATAGGGTATTGAAGGAGATGTTTAAAAGGTAGTCATAATTTCCACATGGAATTGTATGTGCTCTGTGTAATAGGCAATATTTATTCAAAGATGCCTGAAGTTCAGAGACATGATTTGTTGTACCACTATTTAGTAACTGTGGGGGTAGCTGTTTCATCAAGGTCTGTTTTCAGATCTGTTTTCAGGTCTGAGCATATAAAGGAAAAAAAGAAAAAGTAGCTTCAGTTAAAAAAAAAAGTAAAAGTATTAATAAAATGCAAATAAAAAAAGGCAGAAAGTGTTGGAATATTGGTAAGGTATATAAACCATTTATAGGCAAGGTCCTTAAAAGTCCTAACCAAAGATATTTGCCAGATTCATTTAAAGGCTACATTAAAAATATGGTTTATTTTAATAAAGTGCCACAGACAATGGACCAGGGCTTCATGACTGGAAGCCATAAGCAGTACAGTTACACAAAAAAGGAAGTAATCAGGTATATAATAAGGATATTCAGCCTTCAGAACTACATGATTTTTGGTTCAGATCCACAGGACAAGACCCAAGGGTATGTCCCAATGACTGCACACATGCCATTTGCAGTACCAAAAACTCAGTTGAGGTCTTGCAAACTGCATACATACACACATTTGCCACACTGCTAATTTGCAACATGGCAGGTTTTTTGACACTGGGAGATCCTGGTGTTAAAAAAAAAAAAAAAACACCACTGAAAAAAGCAGCACAGTGCACACAGCAGCAGCTTGCACTGTCAGAACCCAGAGCCTGGCTGGCCAGAATCCAATGATACATTTTGGCTCCTACCCACCAGCTCAGCACCACTGCTGCCCTGGGTGACCCCCAGGATCCCAGGTAAGGCTGCTGGCCAGCACAGGTAGCAGCCCCAACTTCTCCTACCCCACTAGGGTTACTTTATCATGCACCAGAGCACATGTGCAGGGGTGTGTCCAGAGACAAATAGCAGTGGCCCATATTTCCCATGGAAACATGTCCGCAGGAAACGTGCACACTCCAGTTTGGCCCAAGAGTCTAACTGATTCAGAGAGGCATTGTGCTTCTCTCAGCAACAAATTATTTCATCAGATGCTAAATATCTGAAGAAGCAGGTTGTTGTCTACAGAAGGTCATGCATCTGTAAAATGCGCATTAGTCTCTAAATTGCCATTCTGGCCTACCTTCTGCCTGACTTCAGACTAACACAGCTAACCACCTCAGTTGGCATAAATGATCATAGCTCCATACACTTCAGTAGAGTGACACAATGTTATACCATCTAAGCATCTGGCCCATAAAAAAGAAAAATAAAAGCAAATGTTCCATGAGTGGACCTAGTATATTGACATAGGGGTACAGATGGTGTGGTGCATCATCACATATAACACAACAGATTCCTTTTCAGTTAAAAAGAAATTAGAAGCTTTAATAATAGGTTAGGGCTAGTGCTAGGGTTATATGATTCAGTTTAAGATCAAAGCAAAAAAAAAGCTTTATTGGAATGTGCCTTATTTTTTCTATAGCATATAGTATGTGTAAAATCACAATAAAATAAACAAACATAATTCAAAGTTCTTTCATGAGTCTTTTAGTCATTATAATTAAATATATATCTTTTTCAGAATTATAAGCATCTTGACAATGCATCCAGTGCTTCACTGGAAGTTATTTCCACTCCCAAGTTAATGTTCACTTGAGTTAACATTTCCATACTAGAGTGAATACTTCTAGGTAGTCTGCAGGGCTGTGAAATAGGAGCTACATTACCAGGAGAAGCTAACAGACAGCACAACTGCAGAAGAAAGGAAAGCTTGTTTAATGGAACCATCAAAAACCATTAAAAAGGAGAGAGAGTCATTAACAGCTGTGGAATGAACAGTTTAGAAGGAATCAGGTAGATTATAGAGCCACAAAGTCAGTTAATTCCCTCAGCACTGACTGACTAGAAATGTTGATGCCACTGCCCGCCAGTGGGTTTTAAACTTTGGGTGGCCCAGGATTCAAACGGGGATGCAACTGCCCAGCTCCATCCCTGAAACCTTCCTACATAATGGCATTCTGGTGAATGAGAAAAGCAGTGATCAATTCTGAGATTAGGGGAGAAATGGGGAAAAACAATCTGTTTTAGCAAAAGAAAGACATTCCATGGACTACCATGAGCATGACGTCTCTTTAAAAAACAGGATTAAAGTCATTCTGGTCCACTGTGCTGCACACAGAATTCAAATTTTTCAAATATTCTACACTTGACCTATATTGCGCTCTTAAAATTTAAGCAATATTTGCAGTCATATCACACTACCTTCTTGCTAGCAGGCACGCATATTTGTGGCTGTATACCAGACATAATTTAGGCTTGAATTAATACAGTTGTTGGTTTATATGTTTGTGTCCCCTATATGAGGATATGCATGGGAAGCCATGGGTAGGTAGCCCTACCACTTTTAGGACAGAATTCTGTTTTACTTAGTGGATAACCTAAGTGTGGCTTGAGACTAATTTTGAGTTGCCTGTTACGTAGGACCAAGTCTATTTCCCCTCTTGGACATGTAAGTGCCTTCATTATAGGACTAGAACAGGGGTGGGCAAAATGTGGCCCAGGGGCTGGATGCGGCCCACCAGGCCATTCCATCCGGCCCATGGGGCCCCTAAAAAATTTAGAAAATTAATATTTATCTGCCCTGGGCTGCCTGTCATGTGGCCCTTGATGGCTTGCCAAAACTCAGTAAGTGGCCATCTGCCCAAAATAATTGCCCACCCCTGGAATAGAATCACCCTCCAGAGATGAGCAGGTATATCCCTATTCTTGTAATGGCAACATTTATACACATAGAGGGGAGGAAATATAATCACTGTTACATTGTGGTTGGGTAACTCTGAGTTAGTCTCAAGCTGCACTTTTGTGGTCCACTTGGCAAAGTAGAATTTTGTCTTTAGTGTATTCTGCGCTTAATGTGATACATAATCTCTGACTAAATTCTTCAGAAGTGTAGCATCCAGCCATGTTCCAATTCCATTACCTTGGCCAATATGAGAGAGGCCATTTTCTGGAATAATGGGTTAGAATATTTTCCCTCGCTGTCACTGAAAGGTCAACTGTTTGTTTCTGTTTGACAGGTCAACATGGTGATTGGCATTTTGGTATTTAATAAACTTGTTTCCAGAGATGGGATCCTAGATAAAAAGCTCAAACACAGAGCGGGGTAAGCAGCAATTGGGATATTTTAAGCATATTACAAATGTATCACATATTTTCAATTACAGATATTCACCAAAAATGCATTTGATTGTGCTTTGAACTTTTTTCTCAGCATAATGGTTGTGTCTAACAGATTTCATTCATCTCAAGAGTTGCAGTTGCATTATCCTGAGGGAGTGTGACTGAGCAAACTGAAAATAATAAAACACAAGTACAACAGTATTAAGTTAATAAGGATGAGGATTAACCACAAATCTAATAGAGATTTCATGGAAATTTCACACTTTTTTATTCTTGGAATCAGGAAAATTGTTTTATAAATGAGTCCTTACAAAGGAGACCAAAATCTTTTTCTTTCCATCTTAATTAATGTGATAGTCAACCTTTTACCTAAGCATAGTTCCACTGAGGTCAATGCAATGGCATTGTTGTAATTTTGAGAATTGTCTCTCTGTGGGTATGTATATGAATATGTGTGTGTGTCTAACATTGTCACAATAGAATTTTAATGTAAATGAAAATAATATAAATACAAAAACATGATTAATAGAAAGTTCTCTACATTTCTATATTCATGATTTGCTTTCATTTATACATACATATTCCATACTTCTACATACATATTCAGGATTTTCAAGAATAAAATAGGGAAGGACTGCTGTATGGATCCTATTAAAAGGTAACAATAATATTGCCCTTGACTTCAGTGTGTGATGCTCTCGTTTCAAGTTCTGCTTCAGATCAGAGGTCCACCTTAAACAAAAACCTTTCCAAATATTGCCTTGTTTTCTGAATGTATGCAAAAATGTATCTCAGTGTTTCCTCTAGTGATATCCTATAAAGATTTTTTTTTTTATTTCTTCACATACTCCAGTGTTCTGTCTACTAGATAATTTGTAGGTGAATTTATCAATGCTATCAATGATTTGCCTCTTTTTTATATGAATATATCACTACTTTTTCTATAACTGAACTTGAATAATTTGCTGTAATAGTATCATTCTTGCTGGGTCAAAGAACCGATTAGACAACAATACATATGTGATACTTTGTTGGGATTACATTGCCATTTGATGTTTATTTAAGCTTTAAAACCTTCTATGACTCCTTCCTTTTTCTTTGGTGGTAGGTGAGGGAAGAGAGACCATTCATTCTTTTCTTTTTTCTTGTTGGAAAGTATTACTTTCACAATTCTCCTCTTGTCCACAGACTTCTATCTACCTTTCTAGCTTTTACAATATAGTCTTTGTGTTCTGATTAAATATGCAATCTTATAAAACCAGCCAAAATGTTTCAGTAATGGTGAGAACTTGATAATCAAGAGCTCGAATTCACATCTGCTTTAACACCTCAAATTCTGATAGCTAGATGGATTTGGCCTTACAAATCTGGGGGCTGGGTTTTGTGTAATACATCAAGGTGTAGGGGAGGTCATGTTTAACAATCAAATATTTTTTTTTTTATTGACTTCACTGCATGTCTTATAAATCTGTTTGCTTGATGGATACATTTCTGATGAACCAAACAGCTTACTTTCTGAAAGTTTGCAGCTCAACAGAAAAAAAACAGTCTATTGAAAGCTAGATTGGAAAAAGCACTAGAAAATATGCTGTCAGAAACAATCCTGACAAAGGACAAGACTAAATGCCCTAACAAAGAAAGAAGCAGTCTGACTTCTATGATATGCTGAGATGGTGGCTTGACAGCAGCATAGTTTGCTACAATTTGGCAGACCCAGTTTCTTAAGCCATTGTCTGGAGCACTAAAATGTATGTATCATTTGGCCTGTAGTGGACAAGGAATTCTTACTCACTACTCAAAAATTTCCTGCTATCTGCACTCAGAAAGACAATTGCATTCATCCCAGCAAAGGTCACTCACCCACCCCTGAAGCTCACTGAAGATTTCAGTAGTTGAAGCCATTTAAATAGGGTTGACACACTAACAGAATCACTGATTCTCATCTTGCTGAAGTGTATATGAACTCTGAAGGTAAAAGGAACAGGCCAGATATTGGTATTACCTTGCATATGTGATGAGAAGGGGAGTCGCTGCAGTTATGGTGATTTACACCAGATGAGCATCTGTTACCAAAACATCTCTTTATGTGGAAATGTGTTTCCTGAGGAGGCTTTTTTCTAAGTTTAGGAAAACATAATCCATTCGTTTGTAATACAAACACACATTGGTAGTATACGAAGGACGGCGCTGTCTATAAATCCATTGATACATTTTCTAATGGAGTTTCTAACGTCATATGACTACACTAAGACAAAAACTTAGTTTTTTCTGGTTGACCTGATTAGAGGCTATGCCTTCAGCTCAGAAAGATCACATGGCTCCACTTTGCCAATTTATCTCAATCCCTTTATTTCTTTTAATTACATATACATAATCAAGATAAAAAGCTCCAAGTGAGATGAAATGCTGGGGTATTTTTCCATTGTTAGTTTTCGTCATTATGCACAGAATCCCTTTTTCCAGCTGTGTGTAGGTAAAAACCCTTTTCCCTATATTTTCAAAATCCAGTTCTGGTGGCAGGAGAGAAATTGGCTAGCAGTAAAGTATTTTCTTTAATCAGAACTTTAAAAATGTTGCAAAGAAATATTGCAAACGTTGAAAATGAAGAAAATGTAAATACAGGTTTTGCACTTTAGCTCTTTGACAGGGCTTGAAGCACTATTGTCTGTATGAAATGCTTGAAGCTTAATGCTTGTGTACTGTGTTTTATTAAAATGCAATAACAGGTCACCTTTTTTTTAGTCCCAAATGATATTTATTTTCATCAGATTCCATACATTTCAAACCCTGTATTCAGACCTTACTAAAGCATGACAAAGTCCTATCCTGGGGACTCCAGATTTTAGCCCGCACATTCAAGTCACTAGTACAAGTTCATTTACTTACTAAACAATACCTTAAGTCCATTAAACTAATGACATGAAGGAATTTTGCAAGTTTCTTCCTTTATTAATCCTCAGATAATGTGTATGCCCTGTATTCATTCTCAAGTAAGTCAGCATTGAAACCTCAGATTTGTTAATGGTCTGAATAGAGGGATTTCACTGTGTGTGTCTACACTAGCACGTGCTTATGTTTACCTCAATGTATCGAGCAACTTTGATATCTGGGCATTGGGGCCTTTTTAAACTTAAATGGAAGACATAGAAAGAACCTGCATGAAATTCAGCCCCATAGCATTAACAGTTAACAATAATGTATAATACAGTAGAGTTTTGCAACAACCTAGAGCATTCATCCTGAATAAGTCTAATTACTTTTTCTGCATGACATCATATTTAAAAGCTAAATTTCAGTAGCAACTTTTTTTGGTGAAAATTCAATATTTTGTTCTTTTTGTGGGTGTTCTGTTTGTTTGCAGTCAGATGAGTGAGCCTCATAGCGGTTTGACGCTCAAATGTGCCAAGTGTGGAGTAGTTTCAACAACAGCTTTGTCAGCCACCACCGCCAGTAATGCCATGTTAGTCCTAATCATTTACATCTTCTTGTTACAAATCTTATACAGTGCATGTGAGAAAATACTATGATGATGAAAGTTGTGTTTGCTAATACTGTATTAGAGCACTGAACCTATTTAAATAGACCTTTTTTTTTAAATTGGCTTCTGAGTTTGTTAAATGAAAATAGGAAATTCTTTAGAACATAAAGTACCAACTCTTATATATTTGTCTATGGTTTCCAAATTAACTGATAAACTGCTGTCTTTAAATATGTTTTGTTTTAGTAATGGGTTTTTAATATGTCCCCATGTAGCAATATGTAATGTAGTGTTTTTTTTCTCTGTCTCTGAATAGGGCTTCCCTTTGGAGTTCCTGTGTTGTGTTACCTCTTCTGGCTCTGACCTGGATGTCTGCAGTTCTGGCCATGACAGACAAAAGATCAATTTTATTTCAGATACTCTTTGCAGTATTTGATTCCTTGCAAGGCTTTGTTATTGTCATGGTCCACTGCATTCTCCGAAGAGAGGTGAGAAGTAACTTCTTGATTCTCTCAATGCCTATGCTTTTTATTAATTTCTCACTATTTAATGCAGTCTTCAAAAATATGCATTTGTCTAAAGAAGAGAAAGGCAATATTTTTGCAATGAAATTTAAAGAGGGACAAGTGACTAAAACTCTCACACGCAGATAGTTCCAGATAGGTAGCACAATATATGTAAGAGACTAACCCTCAAGTGTTGAAATTCAGTGAACAGGGACGGATAGTAGGCTGAGATTATATTAGTCTCAATAGGTCTTGTCTATTGCTAACATTTATGCTGCTCTGATATTGTGGTTATAGACAAGCCTAAAGACAGAATTCCTTTCCTGAAGGAATAGTGTCTAGAGTTTTGGCACGTGATGAAAGATGGATTCAAATGTAAAATTGCTTTTTGTTACCCTACCTCAACTTAAATGGGAAAAAAACACTTTTGAAAAAATGCAGGAAAAAAGGAGTTAGATAGAATGTAGGTGGAAGGATTTGTCTTTCAGCTCAACGTACGTAGGTTCAAATCTTGTTAAGTCACGAGTGACAGGAAGAGGTGTGGTTTCAATTTATCTACTTTAGAATATTTCATCCACATCACTAAACTATACCACATTGTCTGGCACAGTTCCCAGTGATTGGCAGCAGTTATTCAAGGGAGCTCCAGGACTGCAATAACAGGACACTTCAGGCCATGTTTAAGGTTTATTGGCAGTGCTGAGTGAGGAATCTTGCACAGTGATTCTTTTATCCATCATTCACAGTCCTAAGGACCTAGGCACACCCAATTCATCTAAAACAGCATGAATCACACAACCTGTTTCAGTTTTTCTATGCTGTTCCAATCTGTATGAGTGTTACACAGGTAGCCTACACTGTGCATACATGTGTGTGCATATGTGTGTGTGGGTGGTCGTAGGAGATTACTTTATGAGCCACTGAGTTCTGTTAGCAGTTCTCTGGAGACAGACAAACATTTTAAAAAAGGAATCAAGTTTACTGATTAAAGCAAGAGTTTCCTGAGTTACCTTTTCTGCTCAGACTTTCCTTACTCTCTTCCTGGTATAACATTGTGCAGGTGTGGGCTCCATTTACCCATCTGTAAACAAGAAGCCAAAAATACCTCCTCCAAACTCACAAAGTCACATAAGGGCTTGCTGCATGAATCTCTTACAGCCTTAATGCATAAAAAACAGACTGAAAACTTTTTATTCCACTACATAGAGAGTGGAACTTAAAATATATTTCTACAAAAGTTATTTTTTAGTATTCATACATCCTACTGTAATGCAGTTTGTTAGGGAAGGGTAAGTCAACTTGCCAAATATGCTAATTAAATAGGAAATACAAAGAGAGCTCAGTTAACATCTGAGAATGTAGATTTGTAAGATGGAGGTAGGGACTAAAGTTTCCACATGTTTTAAAGGAACAGTTATAAGAATACATATGCTTTAAAGATCAATACTTTGAATTTTACTTCAGCTATATATCCAGCCTCATTTTGCTAATTTGCTACTGATCTTTATAGTATATATTGCTTACCTGTTTAACTTCAACTGTTGGTTGACTATCCATAAGAATAGCTTAGGTAGGTACAGACTTTACACATAAACTAGTATAAATGATCGGAAACTGATCTACACCCATAACTGAACAGAAGGTCAGCACATGTAGACTGGTTTAAAACTGGCAGAACTCAGTCTAAGATAGACTTGGATCGATATGGTATCAGACTTAATTGATTTAGGTTAGGCTGCTCTATCAAACTTTTGTCCTGGATCCCCTACTGACTCAAGTAAGGTTGCTATCCTCTGGCATCCCAGGCTGCTTTGCAACTCACTGCTAAGCCCCCCTTGCAGGGAGGCATGCTGGACTTTCTCATGCTCATGACAGTCGGTAGGCAGGTGAGGCGGGGTGGAGATGGAGGCTTCTCTTGCAAGGACCCAGCTCAGAATCCAAGCAATCACAGAATCTCTATCCTAGCCCCAAATCCGGCCCCTGCTAACTATGATCCACAAGCAGGCAGAGAGGCAAGGAGCAGGGGAGAATGGAGGCTTTTGCTGCATGGATCCAGAAGCCAATCAAGGGTGGCCTGGCTGCTGGGCTATGCTCAGTAACAGGGAGCCTGCTGGGAGGTGTAAGCACCCCCAACCTGCTGGCCTTGGCCAGTGCAGGCAGCCTGTGACCACCCCCTAACCAAAGGACAAACATGGATTCTGTTTGCTCCCAAACTAACCTAGGGCATTTAGAGTAAAGCACAAAACTTAGATCACTTTTGCTTCAGGCTTTTTCAACATCCATATCTGGCCTAAAAATATAGATGCCAGTTCTATTTTGTACATTTCAGGCACAAAGCTAATCTTCATGCATGCATACTCACATACCCATTGTACAGTGCACTTTCCTTCCCAATATGACATACATTTCTAAAATTACATGTACCCTACATACAGAATTGGAAGCCTCTAGGTCATGTATTCTTACAGTGAAGTGGTACAAGGCTGCAATGTCTCATTTCTCCAGCCATTTGACCATCCCTGACATTTTCAAATAGATTAGGTGTTCTTTGGATCTCAAACTTGTACCCCACAGTAGGGAACAAAGATTAGACAGGGGAACTGTTCGTTTGAGACTAAACTTTAAAAAAATATAAACACCCTGGCTATTACAGTATCAATTAAAACCTTCAAACAATGAATTAATATAACCAAGACAGAGACATTTGCTTGAGTTCGCAGAAACTATTAAATCATAGCTCTGTGGTAGAAATTACCTCATTTACTTTTTTTAGGTGTTAAACTTAGGGGAAGACTAGATTTCTAGGTGTACAGTAGTCTATACAATTTAAGGACAATACTGCACCCTGAACATGTCTGTGTGAGAGCTGGTATCTTGGACTGAAAACCAATAAACAGCTTGATTCACATTTGAGCATTTTGTCTTGCAGCAAATCCCAGACCCTGTCTGTAACTAAGGGATGCTACTTAGATATCAATATTATTAACAATTTCACTACCTTTAAAAGCAAATAATATGGGAAAGGGAGCATTTATATTCTGAAAATCTACCCCATGTTTCCCATAATGTATGACACATCTGTTGGGAAACATGAAAAATTATCTGTAGAGGGGGAGAAGGGAAGGTACATACAATAAATTGTATATTGTAATGGTCAGAACACAGAATTCCTAACTATAGGCTATTCCAACAAGTTTTTAGTTCATTCTGCATCAAAACCAAAGCTCCAAAACCTGAGTTAAAAATTTGAATTAAAATGCTTCAGCTTAGTCAAGCTTTAGTCAAACTATAGTCTCAGCTTATAGTTCTGGATGTCCCCAGTTCAGTGCTCACTATCAGTTAAAGGTAAAAACAGACAAATGGTTTAATGCAGCCCTGATTAGGCCAGGATACAACTTACATCAAAACAGATATGACACAGCCATTTACATGCTAGGTTTAAATGGCAATTAAGTCGAATCAGCCATGATTGTTCTGAGGCAAAGTGTTAATTTGAATAATTCACAGGTACTTAAATTGAGGCAATGGGTTTGTCCATCTGTAAAGTATGAGATTT